TCACCCCAAAACCACAGAAGGTCCCTTAAGATTAACAGTGCTTTACCATTGGTATCTTAAGGCTAGATAGTTACTGAGTATCATGCAGCCATAAATAAGTCCTCGTTAGCGCTGAACTCAATGCTTCCAGCAGTGATGATGGGGAGGAGGGGGAGGCCCTGAGTGAGCATTCAAACATCTAATTGCTGGGAAGCAAACATCTGGGAATAAGGCCAGGTAACCTGGCAGAGTCGTGAGTTTGAAACAGAAGAGGAGATGAAGTAGAACATGTCTGTGTCTTGTCTCAGACTGTTGGGTTCCAATTGCTTTCCAGTCACTGCAGAGAGACTAGTAACATCTATCCCGCTAACTATTTTATGATGGGAACAGAAGCCTTGTGAGTTTAGTGGAATAAGCTTTAGACTTGTCATCACAAAGGAGAGTTCATACAGCCTTTTTAAAGCTAATGGGGATTTTTTAAAAAGTATGCATGTTGAAGAGGGCTAACTTCAAGAGAAAATTCATTTTAACTTACTTCCCACCATGGTTTAAGTGTCTCATAGCTGCCACAAAGAAAGCAGTTGACACTGAATGCTTAAGAATAAACACCATGTTGAACTATAGTAATAGTAAATTGATAAAAAAAAGGTAAAATAAATATATATTATAATTTTATTTAAAGGCATTTACTGTTACTAAAATGATATTCCATATTGTTGTACGACTGATTATTACCACAATTTTCATCACAGTTTTCATGACAGTCACTCTGATTATTATATAATCATAAAATATAATATAATAGTGATTTCATGAGATTTATAAAATTTATAGATAGTTTAGGGATCAGGAATTAAATCCCAATTCCTGAGATAGATTACCTTAAGAAAAGAATCAGTTAAAACACTATAAAGTCAGTAAACTGACATAACTGACTGAACTTTACATTTGTTGTGGTTCTGAATTATTATATGCTGATTTTTATGTCTTTACTGTTCTACTCTTTCTAAGGTTACATTCAGACCATGACAAGTTAGGGTATCTGTGCTATAAGGGTCTTTATTTTACCCATATGCATGTTAAGAGCCTAAAGCTTGACAGTGTTCCCTCAAAGCATGCTGTGCATTAGCCTAGCCACAACTTTCTGTGACTTTCACCAATCAAACTATTTCTAAAAATATTTCCCAACTATCTGACAGTAAGAAAAAACTTTTGGTTATATCCCTTCAATTAAAACCTTTTTACATTGCTGACTGGCAGCTGCTGTCAAAAGGTGGAGGAAAGAGCGCCATTCTGCATACAATAGGAGAAGATAAGAAATGCATCTTCATTTCTACAAGATTAATAAGATGCAAGAGAATCAAAGTTACTTATTTATTTTTTTACCTTAGGACCAGAACAACTATAAGAAAAGTTGTTACAAAGAACTACAAAAATGGTCCATAAAGACAATGTGGATTTGTGATTAACAATAAAAACCTATTTTTGGACAAGTAAGGATACATAATTGTGCAAATAATAACTTTGTGGCTTAGGCTAATAGACTGTCGAAACTCTTGAAAGACATAATGGTCTGATAATTTGCACTTTGATTGAACCTTTGCTGCCCTATCCTTCAAAGTAAAGTTTGCACATTGATTTTTTTTGTCCATATTCTGAATTGTTACATTTTGGTACTAATACATAAAGGTACATTTTTGTCATTTTTTTTAATTTGAAGACAAAGATAAAATGTATGTGCAAATCAAAAGGCATTAAGTGGGCATCGAAATACTGTGATTTTTAGACTTTTTCTTATATTTCAGTAAAAATACATGTATAAGATGAAATAATTTGATTCGATTCATGTTTTAATCACATCATATTCAGGCGAATAAGGTTGCATTTCAGTAGCAACAATAAAATAATTGTGAGTTTTGAATTAAATTTGAGCTATAAATGCTTCTGCAAAAATCAAAAACAAAAAAAACCTAACAAAAAAATCCCACTCTGAACAGATGAAGTGAGATTTTCTCAAGCATATAATCAAGCTATATAAAATAAGAGGCTTCTGTGCTGCACTCTGCTCAGACAGATATAATTACAAAACCAAAGCTGCTATGTTGAATGTTTAACTTGTGAAACAAACCACATTGTTTCTAAAGACTTGACAAGTGTGGAAACAATGGCATGCCAGAGCAGATAGCTGCACAGAAGAAGCTTTCGATTTCTATTTCCGATCGCTATGTTTGCCATCTCTGACTGAGAGGAAACAAAAGAGTTGGTTTGGGGTGAGGATCTGGCATATATACATTCGGTCCTCAGTCAAAAACAAAAGGAACAGTGGGTCCTTTTGACCACATTTACAATAGAGTATATGAAATATCCATAACTCAACATGAGTAATGCTACTGCATATACTGCACAAAACATCATTATACCCATCACAATGCAAGAACGACAAACTCAGAAAAATCTGGCAACCATTACAAAGAGGAACATTTCCTACGAATAAAAAAAAACATGGACAAATGTGACAGATGTGTAACAACAATAGGTAGCTCCTAATAAAGAAAACCATCATTTTATATTCAGTAAAAAACAGCTTGTATTGATCCTTAAGAGGAAGTTGCTTATTGACTGACAAGCAACTCCGTCGAAGATGTTAAAATTTGAATAATTTTTTATTTATTTTCATATTTCCTTCTTAAGTCTTTAATGTGTTTCTATTCTTTCTCTCTCTTACTGATATTCGCCAATGAATTTCTATGTCTTCTTTTTAGCAATGACTGACACTAACATAGCTTTTTGGCATCCAATGGCCTTTTTTACCACAATGCGACTCAGAACTTCATTCTTTTTATGTCCTTTATCTTTGTAATCCACAAACCCAGATACCTCGAGTCTTGGCCCCAAAAGGTTCTGATAGAACTCTTTCCTTCAGTACCTCAGGACTGTCAAACTCTCCCGGTTTTCACTGGGTTGCCTGAAACAGACCACTAATAGACTCTACCACTGCAAACAATTTGTTTTGCAATTAAAACGTGAATCTATGAATTGCTTTCGTTTCTTGGTGAAAGTCAGACCATAAAATGCGAAACACTGAGCGTGCCATAAAACTTTTACATTGATAAAGAGTTTTAGCCCAAACATTTTGCGATCATGAGTACACCAAACTGCACAGTAGATATGATTAATTAGTTTACCAACCTCAAAAAACAAAGCTATGTGATTTCAGAATAATATCCATTTAATTTACAGTTGTGTTGAAATAATCTCAACTAAAATGTTATTCTGTCTTTGTTCAATTTCCAGAGGACATTGCTTTAAAACTTCTGTGATTCATATAGATGCTATTTTGCAAACGTACATGTTTGGCCTTATACTTCTTAGAGAAAGCAGCCTTTCTTTAGCTGCAGGTCTTCCCCTGTCAGTCAAGGTTTTTAGACCTCCTGTCCCCTCATTAATCTGCTGGCAGTGGTTGATAACTTTCTGTTTCTGCCACTAAGGTGTGTGGCTTTAACCTGGCAAATCATGCCATCAACTGTAAGGAACAAACAAGAACATGACGCAATAAGTGTGCCTCAGACTACTGGGTGGTTCAGAGGACTGATTAACTTTGAGGCAGTCATTAAAGTAAATCAATAATGTATGTATTTAGAGTTTGAATAAACTTGTCGCAGTTTAATTTAACTACTTAATCTGTTCTTGTGTAATTCAATTTTTGCCAATTAAAACATTCTCTATTATGTCAATAATCCTGATTTGCAGTGGGTGAAGGGTAGGAGTGTTGGGGGATGTGTTGAATGATTTTGGGATGCAACTGCATATAAAACCATAAAACTGAAAGCGGTGTGTACTCTCTTTGTCTCGTGACTGTGTGTAACCTAAACGTCTTTGGCATCACTAATCCTTTTCCTCCTTTTAAATTTGACAATAACTCTTCCGTTTTGTGGCAGAACAGTACAATAAATCTTGTCTCAGAAACATTGACTGTACTGTTCAAAAGTGCCCATTCATTGTTGGTTACTGTCTTTTATGGGGGAGTAAAGGGACCTAAAATTGACTGAAAAGCCACAGACATAATAACTAAGTTATAAAGTTTCTACGTTAATCATATTTTTGGTATCTGCTTATAATTAAAAATAATGCAATGACATAAATCTTGTTAGATGGCTTTTATTACAAGAAAACTCATTGCCAACTCAAGTGGAAACATTTAATCTCACCTGACAGGTCCTTTAAATCATTATTACATTTGGCACTGTGAGGTTTTTCTAATTTAAACATCTTAAAATGTGAAGATGAACCAAACAAAGAGGAAAAATTCCCTGCCAGAGATATAATGTGTCTGTGATAACTTAAGAACAAGATAAAAGAATGACTGCATTTTAAACATTTTTCCATCTGTTCACTCTCTCACCTGCTCCAATCAGAGCTCTTTTCACACAGGAGGAAAGTCAATACAATCAGCAAACAAAGTCTGCAATTTCTTTCTAAAAGGACCTTCTCCTTCTTCATTTTACTCACTGTGATGTGAATTATTCTAGCGCGTAACACTTTAATTGGCCAAGACAAAGACCATAAGAATGAAAAAGAACCAGAGGTGTAGAACAAACACTGAAAATGATTTTCAGTCTGTCACAGCAGAAAGCAATATTTGCAAACAAGGTGAATAAAGAACAATGTTAGAAAGGTTATGAAGGTAAATGAAAATAATAATAATAATAATAAAACATCTGATAAGAAACAAGACACTTACCTCCTTTGTTCCCATTTAAATCAAGCAGTTTTAAAAACATTATAAAAGACTGATTTTTGACCAAGACGCTTTCCTGTAGGAACCCAATGGTTGATTTACTTTCATTTATTCTAACTATAAAGTGGATCTTAGTTCCAGATGTTCTTAGTGTAAAACTAAGAGAAACTACAATTCTGTTTTCAAAAAACACTGTTGTAAATAACTTTAGCGGTGTACAATATTAATACATGTCACTCCTGATAATATGTAGTTCCATATAAGGAAGCAAGTTACGACTCACGTGTCAGGTGGAAGATGCCGTCGCAGGCGCTGATGTGGGAGAGGAAGGCATTTCCCAGGCCTTGGCCGACATGAGCACCTTTCACCAGGCCAGCAATGTCCACAACATTAAGGAATGCTGGGATTTTACTACAAGGGAAAAAAATGGATGAAACAGAAACCTGTTTAGTTCTGTCTTATGTTCTTTACATAGATTCAAGATCATTTGAAGGAGATTTCTTACAGGTGTTTTAGCATATGTTAGCAGTTCTAAATGTCTCAAACAATATTGCCAACAAATCAAGTAACCCACAAATATATAACATCCATGCAAATCAAGGCTGCAACAGGTCAAAAATTTAAATAACACCTGTTAGCCTAAAAAGAGGATTTTCATTGCTAAAATATTGCTCAGGATGATCCAATGGGTGCAAAGGGTGCAAATAAAGACATCTTCACAAAAAAAGCTTACCCTTCTAAAACATACTGTTTTAAATGTTAACAGCTGCTTATCTAGATTTCAACTATTACAGCTAACATTGTTGGAACAATAATCCAGAAGTGGAAAGAACGTAATTTCACCATGAAACAGTCACAGCCAGGTGTCTAGTCAAAAACGTATTCAAGAGATTCGTCCAAGAGCCATGAAACATTTCAGAATGACCTGAGTATGGGGAGTACTGTTTTTCCCAAAAAATAATAATAGTAATAATAATAATAATAATACAATGAACTCAGCTGCAAATGTGTCTGTGCACACTTACTACATAAGATAAGACTGCACTGCTGAAGAGAAAGCATGTTGAAAATTTAAAGTTAGCTCCATAAGATTTTGACACACCAGCAAAATACTGGGTGAATATAATTGTGTTAGATGAGTCCAAAGTTCAACTATTTAGATATTATTGCCCACAATAGTTTGGAGTAAGAACAGTTCTGCAGATCAAACCAAAAATACCTTATTAAAAGTGACATTTACATGTTTTAACTAAGTAAAAATACTTTGTGTGGTATTTTATGTCTTTCTGTAATGCTTGCAAGACGTTGAAGCGGTTGATTTGAATTTTGTGCTTAATTTAATTTTGTTTATGATTTAATTTATACCACTGTATCTTTTTTGCAATGTTTGTAAAGAATACAGTAGTGATTAGTGGGTTATCTTTAAACAAACAAATAGTCATATAAGATGCAATAAATAGGTAATTTATGTGTTGTATATAAACCATGAAAAATATTCTCTTGTAAGAAGTTTTTGGGATTATTTGTATTGCTGCAGATTAAAAAAAGAAGTGGGACTCATTTTTCATGTATTTGATGAATACTTTAGATCACATTGTAGCCTGAACAACTGAATTCTGTCTGCTTAAACAGCCTCAATACATGTGCATCATCACCGGGTGTTTGATTTTTTCCTTTCATTGAAAGACAGAGAATAGAGCACCAATTGAACATCACTGCACACATCTTATAGCCACATATCAACAACATTGCCGTGTGATTTCTCACACCTATAGCACGAGGGCCATCAGAGGCTACAGATGCAAGGTGTGAATAATGCGTGAAGGATGAGACCCCATACCTGGCAGGTTTGTGGAATTGGCAGAGGAAATCATAGCGTTCATCTGGAATGGGCACTCTGCTTTCATTTGGGTCAATGGTGCAGAAGGGGAAATTTTCTGCTGGAGCCTGACTCTTTGTCAGCACGTTGAAAAAGGTTGACTTCCTGAAAACAACAACAGCACTGAGGTCAGGACATCTGAAAATGCTGCAGTGTAGATCCTTGATGGCTTGATAGGATGAACCTGAAACACTGAGGTAAATGCTGAGGCAAACTGACTTCTTTTTTGAGACACAAAACAGAAAGTAACTAATAATAATCCACTGATTTTACTGCTGAAGCTAATTACACATTCCAGATAATCCTCAGGTAGATCGAGATAACATGAAATGTCATGCTGTGATCACATGGGTACTTTTTTTACTTTGTACAAGCTGTTTAAAATGAAACAAAAATCTAACATTTAGCCCGCAACTCAAGTATAATTGATGCACATGCCTTTGTTGATAAAAAGAAAAGCAAGAGATAGGACATAACTTTCTTTTAGTCATAGAATTGAGTAATCTGTGAGTAATGCCTTCATAATTATTACTTAAAATAGTCACTTAAAAAAACATAACTGGAACAAATCCTTAAAGTGAAATAAATTTTAATATTTACCTTAGTTATTATTCTCTTCTGTGTCCATTTATTTACCTTCCTTCACATAAGGGTGTAAATGAAATGTCAAAAACATTTAATCGGGATTTAATTACGATTACAGATTCAGTGATGTAAAAATTTAGGCTGATATTGACAATATCCAATATCGATATCGCTGTTGTTCCCAGGAAAAAATGACAACACAGCTGACATTGTTTCTCTGGTTCAGTTAAACACCTCAGAAACCTGCACTGCGTCAAACATCACATGACCAGACAACCTCCCTCAGCCCTCTGGAAAAACATAGATAAACAGCAGCAAGATGCAAATAGATAGTGGTTACATATATTAGCCTATTTGTCTTATTGAACCAATGCTGATATGCTTTAAAAAATTACTGGTTGATAACAATGCTAATGCGGATATATCCCTAATTATTCCGATCTAAATCTTTCTATGCACTCTGATTCATTTAATTTAATTAATCTAAATATTAAATTGAATTTGAAGTGAAGATTGAAGTGAAACTATATGGTTAAGTTTGTTATCTGTGAATTTGTCAGTTACTTATTTTGTCTAAGTTTTCATTATTTGTTTTGCAAATAATGGATGCTATTATGATTAATCTGAACTCATCCAGTGGAGGAAGTTTGGTTTTATAAGAGCTAAATAAACGGGAATGAAGTTTTTTCCAGTTCTTGACAGATAAAGTCAGACAGTTTCCCAAGTGTAAATCAAATTAAATTACACCCAAAAAACAGATGGTTTGGATCTGAACAGAGTTCATTCATGAAGAGAAAGTTGGAGGATGGACGGGTTCTACTTTGACATAAATATGTAGTGGCAGGCCACAACCTCACAACTTCTACTTCTCACATGAGGAACTGTGGTTTTGCCAGAACGAGAAATGTAAACACTGGACACTGCAAAGGGATCTGTTTGCAGATTCCTTCAGAACCTTGCATGCTACCAACTTGTTCCTGCATATGAACAGACATCTGCAGGAAACTGTACATAATACTTTCTACCACTGGAAACCACTATCCAAACTGGAATTAAATAACTGCTAAAACAGGACATAACTTTTAATTAAAGTTTTGACCTGTCAAAACTTTAATTAAATCAATCCTGGTGACTTCATTGGTGAAAAAATCTATAACAAATTAACTAGACAACAGCTTTACATTAGAACCCTCTGTTTTCTTTAAGCTTCTTAATGAGTATATTAAAATGTCTTAACCCATCAGCTGATTAGATGATGACATAATCCCAAAGTTGTTTGTCTTAGTTTAATATATCCTGACCTGTAAACACGATTTCATAGAGGGTAAACCCTGACACAGTAGCATGGGCCCCCAAATATTGGAGGATGTTTTTTTTTAAATAAACAAATGTTTTACAAAAAAATTAAAAAAGCACTTCATTTTAAAGACGTGATTGTTTCACACTGAGGTGTTTCAATTTATTAGTTTTGTGCAGACGACCCCTGCAAAATCATTTAAAAACAATATCATAGCTCCACCACTGACCTTCTGCCCCATCACACTATTGCATATCTGAATTCCCAAGTTATTGAGAGGTAGTATGGATGCATAATAAATCCATGTGCACTGTAGCATACACAATCTGATCACCAGGTCAGACAAGCTGTTTAATATTTGGCACATAACATAATTCTATCATATGACCTTCATAAACTAATGTCATGCTACACTATGCAGACACTCTTTCTGCACTGAGCCAGATTCACTCACTTCAGACTGAAACTAAAAGCCCATAGTTCTACGCTTTGCTTCATACAGAGGGTCCGGACCATGAGCTATTGATAAATGATTGCTGGCTAGCGGTGTGGGCTCTTTTGAAGCTTTAAATGATTTGATCTGATTTTACCCAATTCCTAAAGTTTAGCTGTGACATATATAATGTGCCTCCTCAATGAAGCGTACCAGAAATTGCATGTGATGTGAACAACCTGGCGAGGTGTGGAGTCACAACAGTAAAATAACTTATACATTCCTCTAGATCCAATTTTAATTGCTCAATATTTAGAAGCTTGGCCAACACGGTCTGAATGCCTTCATTCTCTTTCTCAGCTACCATTGTCAATCTACAGCCTTATGCAGGCAGACTACAATTCGAAGACAATACAGAAAATCAATACCAATCATTAGAAACTACTCCCCATTTTTATTGGTTTCCTGGTTGAAATTCAATGGGAAAAATTTAACTCAATGGGAGAAATCCCAGAAGGAGCACCGAAGGGAGCTCCTTCTGGGATTGTGAAATGAGGAAGTGACCAGGCCAGAGTTACCCTCCTTTCAGATTAGTAGTAACCAAAATTAGACACTGATAGCATGATAAAAGTAATGTAGCCCTCCAGATGCAGTAGAAAACAGTGTATTTTACACCCCTGATCCCAATACACATGCACTCTTCGAAGAAGAATAGCATAAATAGAGATGGCTGAATTGGGCATAGAACACTGTTTCCTCCCTTTCCTATCATTTACACCCAGGATATGTGATAGTTAGCCGTTTTGAATCTAACAGAAAATTAAGAAATTCTAAAATAATTCCCATTCATGCAACAAAACATATACTGCTCTTTATCTTTTTATATTAAAATTAGGATGTGGATTTAATGTTGATTTGTCCATTGATTTCTCAGTTTTGATAAATGCGTGGAATAGGAAAAAAAAAATCTATGAAGTTTTTTTTTTTTAGATCCAAGGAAAGTTTATGTTTCTGGTTGGTTGACTGGTGCACTTTTGAATCAAAGAGAAAATATGAAACATTATGCTTGCTGTAGTCTGATCATAGATTTTTCATAGAAAAAGATTTGCATTTTGTAGAACAACTGTAGAACCTCTGGGAAATGTCTCATGGCATTCGCGTAACCTTTTGTGATCAAGACAAATGACGACAATAATCCTAATTCATAGAAAATGAATTCTTGTGTATGTCAACTCTCTGATATCTTTCATACTCCCCCCGCCCCCCCCAAAAAAAGCATATAAAAGAAGACAGGACAAGTAGCTTGGAACAGTTCAAAAAAACAAGAAATCTGATAGGCATGAAAGGAAAGACAAGAGAAAGGAGAGCACGTGGCTTCAGACATTTACCAGCTGTTGCAATGTAAGACGACTGGTACATCTTCCCCACTGAAATTAAAATGATTTTTACAAAGTTTTGTTTGCATTAGGGCATGCATTTGTTTTGGAGAAAAGACTTTTTACAAAACCTCTTCATACTTTTAAACTTCTGCTTTTACAGTGATACATGACTTGCAACAATATTCTGCTCTGCACATGTTACTGTTTGTGTGATTAAAGAAAAGAAAGAATGTAACAGCGATGTAGAGAGAAGGCATTATAGCCATACTTACCCAACATTGGGCAATCCGACAATCCCTATCTTCAGAGAAGTCCCAAACCTTCCAATCAGCGGCGGTGGCTTTGGTGCATCATCTCCTTTTGCCTAACGAAGACAGTGTGGACATGTCTGCAGTCAAAATCAGCACTTGCCATTATACATAAACGTTCTTTGAATGAAACCTTTCTTCTTTCACAAAACACACCTTTTTCGGAGCCATGTCTCTCACTCTTAAACTCTGAATCGACTTCCACAGCAGATGACACACTCAGAGAAATACATTCATTCACAGGGGGCGAAGCTCAGTCTTAAACAACCAGCCTGACTGCAGGCGCTTCAGCTCCAACACTGTCTGCATGCACTCAAAATAGAAACATGCAGCATGTGGAAATGTAAGTTGACACTATAAGCTGGCGAGCTGACCTGCACCTCCATATTTGGCTGTCGATAGTGTCACTGTGGGTTAATGAGCAACTATAAAACCCACCCTGTGCAATGTATTTGGAAAAGGCCATTAAGGCCTGGTTAGAGGCAGAACCTTTATGTAATACAGTTACACATCACCTTTCTGCCTTGTCCTCTTTGTCTTTTTGTAATGGGTTTTGCCTCAGTTAGATGAAATATATCCTGCTTTCATTCAATGGAGACAAATTTGTAGATCTGCCCCTGCAAGCAACTAGGCCCATGCTGTTTGCCGGAGATGCAAAAAACACAGATTCATTAATCAATCTTGAGTGGTGCCTAGGAAGAGATACTGGCATTTTTGTCAAGATGAACAATCTTGCTGATGTGTTTTCTTACTGTGGGCCTTGTTTAGTCTTCCACATGACGGGGTGAATATTCTGGAAAACTTTCTGCAAGTTCTTTTGCTTCTTTTGTGAAAATCCTAAGGAAAATAGAAAACAAAGAAAAAACATTGTAGACAAAACAAAAATTTAAAGTGTAGAAACCGTTTCTACACAACAACAAAAAGAACAAATTTCAGGGAGAAATCAACAACTACACTCTTCATTGGAGTAGATGGAGCTGTCAGACAGGAAGCAGCACAGATTCACAGTGCAACATCCCTTCACACACAGTTTACCCGGACCCCCTTAGAGAGGAACAGGTGTAGCCACATGGGCGCACGAAATTACAACAATTAGTTAAACATCCTCAAATAAACTTCCTTCCACAGACGTATAAATTGAGGCGTGCGCAACCAGCGAGCCCTGGCCCAATCCAGTAAAGCCTGCCTGGGTTCAGCATGCAGAAAATGAGCTCCTAATAATCTGGATTTGAGGCAAAGTGCATTTTGCGGGGGAAAACTCAGAAATGAATAGATCTCAATTAATCATTTATCTTTTGTTGATGGATGCACCCCCACTTAGACTCGTCACAATAGATGCAGAGCGTTTTGTTCGACCAAATAAATCATTCCCATTGTTTAAGGTACATTGATCAATCTAATGGCTTGTAATGGGCTCTTAATTGCCACAGAGAAGTGCTCACGAATGCAGCGCGGTATTACAGATTCAACTCTGAGTTTTCACTCGAGTGACGAGGAAAGAGTGTGTTCAGCCTTCCAGTTCCATTAAGGAAAAAAATGCTTTTATTCTCCAAACAAATGGATTTATTTTTGTATTAATGATTAATTAATTTGCTTATTTACTTATTAATTTATTTAATTATTGCATATAAACCAAATTGATCTGACCGCAGATCCCTTCAAAAGAACAATTATTGCTGTAAATTATTTTAAAAGTTTTTTTTTTTTTTTTTTTTTTTTTTTTATCATTATTGTTGTGTTTGATGTGATGGAATTGTGCATTTCCAGAATCCAGATGAGTCGAACTTTATTTATAAAATACATTAAAAAAAAAAAGTCGACAATCAGCTCTACATGTTACAAAAGTTGCCAGCATCCAAACAATAATTTTGTCACGGTTGCAAAATAAATCGATTTAATTTCGTTTTTCCCAGTGTTCACTTCCTGATGAGAACGATTTTTATTCACCCCCTCCAAAGGTGCAGGGGAGGCTCTGGAGCAGAAGCAAAGGAAGAGCATTTGAACAAATTGCGCCTGTGTTTACTGGCAGCATTCGCACCGCATAATGGAGCATTATCTGCCCGTTTTTGAATACGGTGATGCACATCCTTTGGTCAAGCTGTTGTTTTTTTTTCTTTACTGGAAAATTGCTTTAACTTAAAAAGAAAAAAAAAAAGACTACTCGCATCAGAGCAGGTCACTTTTACATTGTCTCATTATCTCTGAGCGTTTTAACAAGCTTCTATATGCATGCTTGTTGACGAGTCAATTGCAAGCATTTATAATTTGAAAAAAATATATAAAAATAACACGGCGTCCTCTTCCTTGTGCTCGTTTAATTGGACGTGCAATTAGGCTGGAATTGCATGTTAAGTGCATGCAGTGCATGGCCCTTTGCAGGATGCAGAATTTTAAATCCTGTTTTTGAAGAATTCTGCAACAAGCGCTGATAAGACGAGCTGTCGTTGTTAATTAACCTCTCACCTGCACTCACAGACAAGTGCGCAGGAGGAAACGCGTGCGCCAAAGCAAAAAAAAAAAAAAAAAAAAAAAAACACGTATGCAACCTGGAAGGCAATTTCACTAAATCTAAAACCAATCCATTAAAATGTGTGTCTCCAAATCTGATTTGGACTGACATGCGGTTTTACGCCTTCCGCTCTCATGGGAGCGCCCTCTCCAAACTTCATCCATCTCCCCACTTATAAATTCTTCAACTACGACCTATCAAATTAATATAATAAATAATATCCTCTGAGTTTTCACCCCTCCAACCAGCAGCATGGCGTGCATGACACATATCACTGGAAGCAACCAGCCTGTTTGGATAAAGTAATCTCCAAGTTAAACTAAAACAAATTTTAAATGCTGTATTGCCCATGATCTGAATATGGAAAATATGGATGGCAGTTCAGAGCAGTGCCGCCAAATGCTTTTAATAAAATGAGCGAAACGCTTACCTCCTGGAGATCTGAGGCGCGAACTCTATTCTGCCATCAAAAAGAGAGGGAACATTGCGCCCTTCGTGTGAGAATGCGTAAAAATAAACTGCGTGCATTTAAAAAAAAATTAGATCAAATCGCGCCTTTGGGTGACAGTCTGAGGCAAGAGGCTGCACCGCACATGATTGACGGCGGGGTTTTTGGTGTTTCTCCCTGCGGTCGTGCTTCTCATTGGCTGACAACGAACCCCCGACCAAGAATGCGGCCACGAGATTGGCTGCTCGTCCTCTCCAGCTGTACTTCAAAGAACACGCTCGCTACAACTAGGTAGTGTCGGGGTAGCTGCGAGCCAAGAGAGAAACAAACCCGTGTGACCCGAGTCACAGCGCGGTGAAATCTCAATCACATTGGAGTCATACAGCCTCTTCACCGCGGACACTCTCGGCGCAGCACAGAGCCCGGATATGGCTACGTCTATACTCGGGGTGAGTCTGGCTTCCCGAAAAAAGTTATTTTCTTTCTCAAATAGCTAACTGAGAAACTTGTTTGTTTGTTTTGCATGTTTGCGTTTGTTGCCACTTGTAATTTTTATTTATTTATATTTTTTTGCTTGGTTTCAGTTTTTTGTAGAGAATCACAAATTTAAAAGTTTCCCCCCAAAAAAAAGAAAAAGAAAAAAAAAGAAAAGTGTCCACATTGTAGCACTTTTAACTTTAAAGCAAACTTGGACAAATTGCAGATATATCAACCTTTTATTTGACCATTCTCTGCATTTTCTTATGATTAAAGTTTCGCAACCATCAGTATGAAAAGTCTGTGGCGGTTCTGATATTTTACTTGTGTTTAGAAAACGTATTAAAACTGATGTGTGCTCAGATGACTTTAACATCTGTGTCAATAAATTATCAGTAGAAATATAATTACTTAATAAATACTCCATGTTTAGCTTGTCGCTGTATTTGCTGCTGCTTGTTTTTAAAGACAAACTTTGTTCTGTGTGCCTTCAGGAAGAGCCACGGTTTGGAACTACACCCCTCGCAATGCTGGCTGCAACCTGCAACAAAATCGGCAACACTAGTCCTCTGACAACTTTGCCAGACTCCAGTGCTTTTTCCAAAGGCGGATTTCACCCGTGGAAAAGGTCCTCTTCCAGTTGCAACCTGGGGTCCAGCCTGCCCGGTTTCACGGTGGCGACGAGTCGAGCCTCAACTGGACTGACGCCGACCAGCGGCGCGGGCAACAGCGCCTTCTGCTTAGCCTCCACCTCGCCGACGTCCTCCGCGTTTTCCACCGAATACAGCGGTCTGTTCTCCAACTCTGCCGGCGTCACGACGCAGGACTCCGGCCAGTCTGCCTTCATCTCCAAAGTGCACACGTCGGCGGAGACTCTGTACCCGCGGGTGGGGATGGCGCACCCGTACGAGTCGTGGTACAAGTCCGGCTTCCACTCCACCATCTCCGGCGACGTCGCCAACGGCGCATCCTCGTGGTGGGACGTCCACAGCAATCCCGGGTCGTGGCTGGACGTGCAGAACCCCGCCGGCACACTCCAGACCTCGCTGCACTCCGGGACGCCCCAGGCCATCCACTCACAGCTCAGCGGCTACAACCCGGACTTCTCCTCGCTGACGCACTCGGCGTTCAGCTCCACCGGGATCAGCCCGTCCGCGTCTCACCTGCTGTCCACCAGTCAGCACCTGTTAACGCAGGACGGCTTCAAGACAGTCATTCCCACGTACACGGACGCTTCCGCCGCCAACGCCATGATTTCAGGCGGCACTTCAGGAATAAGTAGCTCATCGCGGTCCTCCAGGCGGTACTCCGGCAGAGCGACGTGTGACTGTCCGAACTGCCAGGAGGCCGAGCGGCTGGGGCCCGCCGGGGCCAGCCTGCGGAGGAAGGGACTGCATAGCTGCCACATCCCGGGCTGCGGTAAAGTCTATGGGAAAACATCCCACCTGAAGGCGCACCTGAGGTGGCACACCGGCGAGCGGCCTTTTGTGTGCAACTGGCTTTTCTGCGGCAAAAGGTTCACTCGGTCCGACGAGCTTCAGAGACACCTGCGCACCCACACCGGCGAAAAACGCTTCGCCTGCCCGGTGTGCAACAAGCGCTTCATGCGCAGTGACCATTTGAGCAAGCACATCAAAACGCACACGGCGGGCGGAGGGGGCAAAAAGGGCAGCGACAGTGACACCGACACCAGTAACCTGGAGACCCCGAGGTCCGAATCCCCAGAACTTATTTTAGAGGGTGTGAACCCCAGAATCACAGTTAAGGATCCGTCTCCTCACGACGAACCGTGAGGTTTCATTCTCCAAAAACAGTTTATTGAATAAACTGCACAATAAAAAACGGGTCCAATTTCACA